TACAGTTTGGGCTCGAAATACCGTGCACATATTCATCGTAGTGCACCTAAAATATGAGCTGGGCACTTAATTCTCAGCTCGACATGCACCGGTGGATGTAACTTGGTTCAGAAAATATGTTGTGCAGGGCTGCCGAGTCATTGTCGGTTAAAAACAAATTTATAACTGATAATGTCCTGACACTAAAAGAGGACAGGGACAGTGCACGGGCAGACAAGACAGAGCCGCACAGCTGCACAGTGCAGGCCTGGTCAGTCCAGCTGCTACATGTATTTTGAAGGACATCTGTTCATGCTGTTACGGTACTGGTACTTGGAGCAGTTAGAAAGGGCAAAGAAAGACTCGCATTACAGCAATAATTTATTACACATCATATCTCGTCAGATCTAATATGGTTAAAAAAAACGATTCCATATAAGGTTTGCGGAGAAGCATAAGGGATTACTACTAAAAAATGTTTCCATGACTGTATATAACTTGAAGTAAGTCTGTTCAAATTTTGTTGTAACACATTGAAAAAGTCCTCATTTTTAAACTCACATATGAATTCTATAACTGTTTTCCTTCAGAAATGAAAAATATACTGTGCAGGATTTTCCTAAAAAGATTATCTATCTCAAGCTTCACTTATGGCCCTCTAGAAGTATGTTGCAGTGTATTTTTCTGCAGAGACTCTGCCCTCTGCCTCTGTCTTCTTATTGTCTGTGCTCCAGATGTTTTTTGCCGTGTACCCCCACAGTATTAGGTGAGGTCGGGGCTTTATAACAAGGTAGGGACCAGGTGCCAGACTATAACAGGCAGGCATCCCTGAGATACAGTGCCGAAAAAAATGCAAAAATAGTAAGAGGAAAACTAAACGAGTGAATCTGGGGTTGGCTTTTGCTTTTTTTCCACTGTCACTGTCACTTTAACTACTTTTCAATGTAATTTTTTTCAGTACCACTCTATGTGACTATGACTATGATCATGTAAAATTTGAACTTACTTCCCTGTGCTGTTTGTGAGAAAATTAAAGGGAAATTCAGCTCAAATTACATTACATTTACAAAGAAAATGTTGCAGCGGTCGGTGTCGGATTTCTTTTGGTCGAAACTGGTTAGGGAGGAAGTGCAGAGAAAAAGGGACAAATACACCAAATGGTGCAGTTAACAAAACTTCAGGTGTTGTTAATAAAAAAAAAGTGGTGCATTAATTGTAAAAGTTGGAAGCATCAGTGCATGTACAAAAAAGTATTTTGACCCCCATTCAGTACTGAACTTGATATTTTCATGAAAGGGCTAAATTTATTACTTTGGCCGGTAAAAATACCTCTTAGTTTTCAGAGGTTCTGTAGGTTAGTCAAAAGTTAATTTCTAACAGTGTAAAAGAGTAAAAAACTTTCAGAGGAAAAAAAGTTAGCACTAATCAAGCAAATCAAAAGCCTGTTTATATCATGTAGCAGCTTTCTCCTAATTTTAGTAGTAACTCAGAGATGCATAGTGAGCAGCATAATTAACCAGAGGTCCTTAGTTTAGCAGGACACTGAACATTGTTGACCAGACAGACTGTGATCACTGTACTTGTACTTTTTACCTGCTCTCTAATATTGTCCCTGTCTCTCTCTCCAGGAGGACCAGTTGGGTCTGTCTCTGTTGACTCTTGAACAGCTGGAATCGGAGGAGATGCTGCAGAAAATTGCTCAGATTGCTCATCAGACCTGAAGGCAATGTCCATGAAGGGTCAGCAGCCGTTACAGTGACATCATTACAACTAGGCAAAACAGCAGATGCAACTAAGGAGTTCCATTTATCCCAGTTGTTGTACAAGATGTTTGGGTTTTACTACATTTTGTACACTCAGTGACTATGTTGACATGCACAGAATATTTCATTTTTGCCCATAATCCAAAAAAGACCATTTTCCCATGAAGCTGTTTACATGGCTAATAAAAAGTAATATTCCACTAATATTCCCATTTGCAGCAGTGCATGCTCTAAAAAATGTGCCCTAACATGACGTTTATCATACGAAAATATGGAATAGTGGGATGACTAGAGCCGCTTGTGCCATTTGCTTCTTTGTGATGGCGGACTAGTTCAACTATGCAAACACAGCCTTCCTCTGTCATTCCTTCAACCACCCTCTTGAAAAGGTTGGTGTTATAATATTTGCAAATATCAAAAAACATGTTGGTACCCAAGTCTTTCATAATGTTTAACAGTAGGTGTGTTTCTCCGTCTGACATGAATTCTGGGCTTATCTTTTGGGCATGCATCTCTACCCCACAGCCTTGCAAACTGTTGGTTGATTTGCATACAATGTATCCATGACAGCACCATAAACAGACACAAGGCCATGTGTCCCAAACTGTGGTAAAATCCCCAATTGAGATGCATGCATGTCCAAAGAATGCTCCTAAAACCCAACTAATACCAGCATATCCCACGTCTCAATCTGAAAATGGTACATTTTGAATATCTAAACAAAATATGCTGTTTACATGCCCCGTATCAAATTCAGAATATTATTAGGTTCAGAATTGTGGAATATTAGTGTGCATGTAAACATATTCAGTGTATGCAGTCAGTGTTACAGATCACTCACAGATGCACTGTGAGATGATATAACAGAAATAACAACAGTAATAAAGAAAATCTTTACTTGACATTAAACTCTTGAATCTGATGTGCTATTTTAGAGCATTTCACAGTACTGTAGTGAGGGAAAAAAACACATTTATTACTTTTCAAACCATAAGTGATAAACACTGTTTTAAAAGCATGCTGTTATTTCAAACAAGAGGAACAGATGTGTGAAAATAAGTTCATCAATGGGTCAACATGTTGCTTTAACTACAGAAACGTTCTTCCATCAGTGGGTGTTACATTGATCTATATAGTGTCTGTCATACAGACAAGACTACTGTTAGTTTCCTGTGCTACTGTAAATGTACATAGTCACATTTTATACTGGACATGAATATTTGTGTACCTGTTTTTCAACCAAGAAGTTGGAATATAAATGTTTGTATTTAACAGTTGACTTGTGTTTTTCTTCTTAGAGTGTTTCAATCTTGATGATTTTCATCCTGACAAGTCTGAGACAAATATCCTAACTTATTACAGAAACAGTTTGACTCTACAGTAGCTATTCAAGCAGGAAATTAAAGCAGCCTTTTTAAAAAAAATTGTACTTGTCACACCCAAAAAGACATAAAACAACACAACAAAAACACGCACTAAAAATATACAAGGCCATTAAACATCTCATTGTAATTTATTTCATCTCAAGTTTGCAAATAAAAAACACAAATGTTCATATTTATCAGAATAAACACAACATCAGGAGATACATATATATGTAAAGTCCAGTTTCTACATTTTTTTTTTTTTTTTTCATTTTAAATGTAACATTTTTCCAAAGTTCATTAACAGACTGTAGTTTCTACAGTAACTAACATTTTCAGCCCTTACATCACACAGTAGTGACACCTACCACAGAAGATGTACAATCAGTAGTTCAGTAGTTTTATGGAATAAAATTCAAGAGGGTCAGTTGGTAACATCATTTTCAGGGAGCCAAGATTTACCAGCAGCACTCAGTTTTTAGCGTCCGTATCTCACTTTAAACATTCCTGAGGATTAATTGAGTATGTAAAATGAATTTGATGGTCAACATAAAAAGGAAGAACCCATGTATGATTTGTTCACGCAGTGTTACAGTCATGCCACCAAATCCCAAGTTCTCAGCAACGAGTTCAAGTAATTCTTGTTGTAACACATAAAAAGAGCACAAGGAAATAAGCAAGACTTATTAAAAGCTAGCTTACTCTTCATTATAGTGAGTTGCAGTAAGTTATGGATTTCAGGCATTTCAGTGAATAAGCATAGATGAAATATACATATTTGAGAAGCTATCTGTGCCTCTAAATTGTTCAGTCATGCTACAGTAAGCTATGTTTACCAGTATGGGGCAGATAGAAATGAAACATTTACCCCTTGTATATCTGGTTTGCACTTTAGCTTATGGGTGTTTTGACTGTCTTCACAGGTTACCCACCAACCTTTGTATGTCTGCTTTTGTCTTGGGGCAGATTGTGTCTATTTGGCTTGTCTAAGCTTGTTTGCTAAAACGTTTTGAACCTACACAGACACAAATTTGCCTTTTTGTATCCAGTCATGCTGTAACATCTGTCAAATAACGTAGTCTTCCACTTCGTCTTTGATACGACCGTGGGGTGCGAAAAGACTAGCTTTGAGTAAATGGAACAGCTTTGTCTTAGTTCAAGTGAGTCACTTTAAGGGATAGTTGGTATTTTTTGAGGTGGGGTTGTATGAGCACATGGGATAAGTGCTCCTGATAGGTATTGTCCCAGCAAGCCCAGACCAAGACTTTTCTTTAACCATAACCAAGAATTCCCATTCTAGTAGAAAGCGCTTGGCACAGCCTACCCCCAGCCCCATTCCCCAACCAGTGAGGTCCCTACATTTCACAAGCTCTCTCAGCTTTTTCAGCCTAATAAACAATATAAATTCACAAAATGTCAAGAAAGGTATATTCTTAAACATATTACCCTTATGAAACAGAGAAATTCAACCATACACCTTCTGAATTCATGTTTTTGCCAGTATTTGTGTGCAGCACAACTCTGGTTTGGTCAAAATAAACCCTTATTTCATGGAGTTAGATGTTTTTCCTGTGGTCTCTCTGAAAGTCCTATAGTACAAAGTCCTACCAGTAGAGACTGACCTCTGGTGGCATGTGATGTGCACTACATACAAGTTCAATAATAAGGTGAGCCTCTGTATTTTTAGCTGAATTAAATTAAATAATACAGTCGGGATACGCTATATTTCGAATATTTTCACCACTTCACCTTTCCATCAGACAACACTTTCTGACAGGGAACTGAAGCTGTATATCACTCTCTTCAAAGCCACCAGACTCACTTAGTTAGTGTTATTGTGTGACTTTGGTGAATCCAAACTAACCCTTGAAAATACCAAAGTCACGCAATAACACAAAGTAACTGATTGAGGCAGTGGTAGGCTAGTGGCTCTGTTTTTGTCAAAGGAATCTGATGGCTGTGAAGAGAGCACAGATGAATATAATTGCCTTAGTTCTCTGTCAGAAAGGTCTGTCTGACAGCAAGGTAAAGCAGTGAAAAGATCCTAAATATAGTGTACACTTAAACTGATATTGAAAAGCAGTACATTGCTTAGCATCTGTGTCGGTACTCCTGCCTTCTTCTCGAAATTAGGGGTGTGCAGACCGCCATCTGCTATAGGTAATACACTGACTATGGATAAATACCTTATACAACCCCACTGAAAAAATCCAAACCATCCGTTCTACTTTATTCCAAGGCCAGTTGGGAGTCATCAACACTGACTCAGGCACACAGCAGTAACTTTGGGTATCCAGAGAGCTTATATCTATTTTCTGAACTGACTATTAAAAGCTCACAACAAACACATAACTGCTGAATTTTGAAGTGTGTGCCATTAAAACTGAAGTGTCGATTGATTTTCAGTTTGAGAGTTTGATTGATTGAAAACATAATAACTCACAATGTGCAAAAATATCCATCTTTTTGGAAAGCCATCTTTAAAAATATATACATACGTGTGTTAATTTTGAACAGCTGGTGTTTTTTTTTTCTTCTTCTTTTTTTTAAATTAAAAAAGTTGGTCCTTATTCTCAAAATATGGAATGACAAAACTGGACTGTGGCGCAAAACAGCTGAAGTAAACATTTGTGTTTTTTCATTAGCTTTAACAATATAATTGGAATGACCTGCACATTGTAAAGGCAAAACACATTTAAATAACTTCTTCAACATTTTAAACTTCATAGCTTAACTTCTCCCTCGTAAAACAAATGTAACATGTACTTTTTGACAAACACATCACGTTTTGATCATTGTGCAAACAACTTCACATCCCTGTGCTTCTCAACAGGATTTATAAAAGATAATCTGTTATGTCAACATGCCTGTTTATCTGTAAGATTAAAAACATAAATAAAGTTAATAGGTTTTTCAGTGACGTTAATAAATGTACCTAAAAGGAAACACCTAATATGTCCAATTTAAAATTAATTGTATTATTGTTAATGTTTGTTAACCTGCAAATGACATGGTCAGGTTTAAATACAGAAATGTAAAAACTTCCATAAAACTTTTTCTAACAGTGAAATGTTGGTGGTCTAAATTATGTTTTTTCTTTAATTTTGAAGGTTATAGGTAACTTGAAATCAGGAAGCTGAGTTTGTGTCTAATCCAAAACCAGGAAGGAATGATATTGAACTTCAAGTGAACAGGAAGAAAAGATTTTAGTGCAATGCTGATATGTGAAGGTGGAGTCGAAATGTGACCACACTTTTTGGACACATTTGTCATTACCAGAGACAAACATGTTATATTGTTTGACATTAGTTTTTTAAATTAGTCATGATTAAGAAATTTGTTTGACTTTTATCGTCATCGTCTTCAGTTGTGACAGCTATCTCCATTTTTTTCTTCAGGGGACTGAAAGTGGGGAATCCACTTGGTGTCAGACATCTGATATGAGCGATAAATGTACCAACATCTGTTATCTGTTGAGTGGTACTGTATGGAAGTGTGTGTGTGTGTGTGTGTGTGTGTGTGTGTGTTAGCTGGTACCACCGAGTGAACCTCGTCTTGTCAGGCTCTGCGTGCTGGAGCTCAGGCCTCGGACATTTGTCAAACGGCTCGACTGAGGAACAAAACAATCACAATGGATATTTAAGTGTTGCAGATCTCTGTGATTGGATGTACAACCAAAGACAAAGGCATTTTAATCATTTCATGAGGACTACAACTGTAATTTATGTTAAAGTTGTTGGGACACATGCAGCACTGACAATGTATGATGAACTTTGCATTCGGTTAGTCACTCAATTCATTCTCCTGTGCTTTGTTCCCACCCTGTCTATCTGAATTATGTTGGATTGATACGGAGGGGAATTAAGGGAATTATCACAACTATTCAGTTTAACTGTGCTATCTTACAATCCGGTTAGACCTCGAGGTCTTAAAATGTTCGAAAAGAGTCTCATAAAAGATGTTAAATATAACTTCAGGATTCCTGCAGTGCATTTTCTGTTTAAGTGCATTCTCCTAATTGTATGTAACATTGTCAATGAAAGACTTTTACTTTTTGTGGAATATTTTACAGTGCGGCATTAGTACTTTTGATAAAAGTGTACAGTGTTTTTTCTTTTTCTTTTCTTTTTTTTTTTCCCCTGTGGCCAGTGTATTGTTTAATTCCTGCACTGGGAGCGCTGCATAGTAACAGCGAGATGAGGCAATAGTATGTCATAAAAGGGTTAGTATAGCATGTCATGAAAATGTCATAGTATAATGTGCCATAAAAAAAAAGTCATAGTATAGCTCTCAAGCTCTCCAAGCTGGGTGTTTCCTCAGGAGGGCTTGTCATTTTTAACTGGAAAAAAAAAGGCTTTGGTGGACATGGAGCCTAAAGGACCTAAATACTTCCTCCACCACTAGTAATATTTATGGTCTGTGTCTTTGATAACGATCTGCATTTTCAAGGATGTAAATCTACATTGCACAGGATAGAAACACCACAACGATAAGAATTTACCACCAAATACATCAATCAGTTCAACACTTTGAGAACCTGGCTGATTTACTACTAAAAGTATAAGCAGGACATCACTGTTAAACGGATCAAATCACCAACAGTCTGCTCACCTGGGTGCCATCCTGACTCTCTCTGGCTCCAACATTCAACACATTCAGAGAGTTTGCCCTCTTCATCCTGAAAACAGGACACAACATCATAATGAACTCTTAAAAAGTGTTCTAAAAAAACATTATTATATTATATATTTTTGGGCAATTCACACCAGCATCACTTGTGTTTGTTAATTAATATAGAGATGTTTCTTTGATTAGTAAACCTCCATGACAAAATCAAGAGCCCATCCATGAGCCAAAAACGTTCACAGTTTCACCTACAGGTAAGACTCCTGTGGCATTTTCACTTTTCTAAAAGAGTATTACCCAGCATTCCTCAGGGTTGCTTCCTCCATTCCGACTCCTCTCAGCTTGCGGACCAGTTTCTCACTGCTTCTGCGTATCGACTCTCTGAGTTTGGTGAAGGAGCCGCTGCGCTTCAGGTTACTGAGTCCGTCCTGTCCGGAGCCACCGTCCTCAGCACCTGACCAACTGGGACGACCATCGCCTGGGGGATGGACAGATAGACAGAATGACAAACAGCAGCAAACCAGTGTATGAATATGCAGTTTGCAAAAACAAGCTCTCTGTGTTGGTGTTTTTGTTTCTTAAATCATGTATTTAGGATTACGCATACATACATTCATCTGCATACTGTACATAATCATCCAGTTCATGTGTGTCCATTCACCATTTATTTATTTGTATTGTTGGTCATTAGTGCTTTTATATACATTCATATAATATCTATATAAAACACCTATTCTTTCACATACTTGTGTTCATAATATTCCTATTTATGTTTTACCTTTTTTTGTCCAGCTTTGTTGTCCTTGCTAGCTGTTATGTCTATTTATGTGAGTACATTTAGAGCAATGCACTTCCTTATTTGTGTACACATACTTGGGTATGATCATCACCTGAAGACTAACACAAATGTTTTCTCTAGTATTACTTTAACATTATCAACTTATTCTCTGTCTGTCACTGATGAAAATTAAGGTGTTCACAACCTAGATTTTATTTTTCAGAATGTTTTACTTAACTATGTAACTTTTGAGAGACTTTTTCTCATCTAAATGAAAAGCTGAATTCATGAGCAATTGAACCTTTGCTCAGTTCAGTGTACTCACAAGGTTTTGTTGCTAAAGCCTTGCCAAGTCTTTAGGTTAATGTGACTAATGTCTACAAACTTTAGATACTGTTTATGTATATTTGCATCAGTGTGTAAACCTGATGACTTTATTCTGCTCATGCCACACTGTATTTTAGCATATATGATCATCCTGTAGTTACCTGTGGCCACAGAGGCTGCTGGTGGACAAAAGTGAAATAATTGCACTTCAAGCCATTACTGAGACTCTATAAGGAAAAGTGCATCTTCACAGGCCACATAATCGTCCACTGTGACGCAAAAAGTTGAACTAGAAATGTATCTGTGATACAAACAGCATTTAGCTTGCCTGTTTTCACTAGCAAAGTACTGGTTTTAGATAATAAGGTAAAACAGATCTCCTGTGGTCATGCACTCACTGCAACTGTCATCATAATAAATAACAAGGGGACACATCACTTTCCCCAGGTCTCATTAAAAACAGTGTAAAATGCAGCATGTGGTGGCAGACGTAATAAAACTAAAAGAGAAGTCCACAACAGATTATTATAACTGCTGCTGTTTTGTACCTTCTACAGATCCAAACTCCTTTTCATGTGCTCTGGTCAGGATCTCTTTGTATAGAGCCTCAGCTTGTCTGTATTTCCCCTGCTTAAGATAGCATGATGCCTGAAAAAGAACAAAGACATGGATGAGTGTAAAAGAGAAGTTTTGAGCGACAAGAAAGAGGCAAAATATGTTGTAAAATTAGATATACTTCCACTAGCAGCGTTCACACTTCATTTTGTGCAAAAGTAATATTCATAATTTATTTTCTAATTTTCATCGCCTTGAAACTCTTTTAAATTTGAAATAAACTCAGAGAGGATAACATGGAAACATTGAGATATCACACTAAAATGTAAAAACGCAGAATGTCAGCCACATTTTACTGTGCATGAAGGTTTCCTCTCACCAGGTTGTTCTTTGTCTTGGCCACATTGGCATCGTCTGGTCCCAGTTTGCTCTGGTAGATGTGCAGAGCACGTTCATAATACTGCTCCACCTCCTGGTACTTCCCCTGATTCTGACACAGTAGAGCCAGGTTGTTCAGCTGCTTGGCAACATCTGGGTGGTCTATACCAAGAACCTGAGGGGGTGTTCGGAAATAAAAAAATATGCTGTGAGGACAAAAAAAATATTATTTTTTCTTTTCTTTCTCATAGTATAGAAAGCCATAAAAAAAAGTAAAAGTAAAGTCATTAGGAATTGTACAAACGCTGTGGGTCCTCCTAAGTGTAATAACACAAATGTGTGTGTTTTCTTACTTTTTCTCTGATCTCCAGAGCTCTCTTACACAGCGGCTCTGCTTCCTTGTATTTTCCTCTTTTCCCATAAAGCACCGCCAGGTTGTTGAGCGTTGCTGCCACCTGCACAAACATTGTACATTACATACCAACTCCATAAGTCCCACATCAAACAAACTTAAAAATACAGATATTTTTGGGTGACATAAACAATAGTACTAAAGGACTAAACACTGATGCCAAAAAATGATTTCAGTTGATAAAACAAAATAATGATTGAAAATCGAGCAAAATAAATACAACGAAAGGCAAAAACAAACACAATTTATTCCAGGTGGGATTCAGTGTGTGGTGAACTGTTTCATTTCAAGATGTCTGAGACTGCAACTGGTTTATTAAAGGAGGCTAACTTACAGCCGGGTGGTCCATTCCAAGAGTTTTCTCTCTTATTGCCAATGCGTCGTTTAGCAGGTTAGCTGCTTCTTTGTATTTGTTCTGGTCTCTGTGGAGATAATCACGTCACACTGTTTGTCACCTCAAAATAAACTTCTCATATAAAATCGCCTGGTTGTGGGAAATAGAGTTTCTTGGTCTAAGTGCAGGAACATCGCTTTGTTGAATAACTATTTTTTGTTTCTGCTCATTTTATTCTATAAAAGAGCTTTGAGTTTAGAAAAGGTATAACCAATAAGTTTGTAGTTTTGGTACTGATGAAAAGGGTGACATATAAATACGCAGATGTCAGCAAAATAATGTTATACAATACATTAATCAGCAACTTAAACACAAAGTGGACACCTGTCAGAGCTCCTAAAAACCTCTTAGAAAATTTCTTACAACAAGTTGTAAGAAATAATTTACTGAGTAATACTGTCATCGGTATCAAATATATATGTATGAATAGAGGGCATTATCAATTTTGGGGGTGATAATCTTTATCTAACTGTTGTTGCCATGGTAACTGGTCTTACCTGTACACCAGCGCCAGTATATTCAGCATGGTGGCAACATCTGGGTGGGTGTGGCCTGAGGACTTCTCCAGGTCTTCCAAAGCCTGTAGAGACATAAAATAAGACATTTTAAGGCATATGAACAAAATGATTAACATTTTTAAAAAACTGCATTTCCCCTTTCATTTCTGAACTCTCAAGCTGAGCAGTCAGACTGAGAGCAATTCAATTGTTATTTGGGCACAACACCTGCAAGGACATAACAGTCCAGTGTGTTATCTTTGGAGAAGCAGGCTGGCTGTTGAAAACTGGATTTGGGGACTTTTAACTCACCAGTTACAAGATACTATACAGGGGGGAGCAGTTAGAGGTGAACGCCCCTCTCACCTGTTTGCAAAGTGGCACAGCGACTTCGTACCGTCCCTGGGATGCATACTGGATGACCAGGTTGTGCAGTGTTCGAAGGCGGGCAGGAATCTCGTAGCCGCCCTGCTGGGCTGCAGCTGCTGCACTGCTGTGGTGAGGCTGGGACACTGAACAGCAGTAAACAGACAAATAAAAAAAAATTGAAAAAGAGAATTTGGTACAAGCTTGGACTGAACATAAGCAATCAATTACAAGTTTGAGTTGCAGTTAAATTAATGACATCGGATACATTAACTGAAATTGTTTTACAATTATCATATATTCTTTTAATGAATCTTATAGGATCATTTGTACATTGATTACTCAGCCTGTGTTATGTTGAATTCAGGAAGAAATCTTTGTTTTTCCTCACATACCTCCACAATAAATGAAGAATCCAAAAAAGGTGAACTTTCTTCATGAATTAAAGTCTTAGGCGACCATGTTTAACAACAGCAAGTCTTTATCAAAGCATCTGTTTACAAACTCTCACACAACTCGTGCAGTATAATCAAAGTCTCATTTATCCAGTCATATGCTTACTACTTCCCAAATACATGTTTTTTGCTAAATACGTGATATTTAAACCACTTCCATATAAATAGCAAAGAGCACAGGTGCATTACTTGCCTATGCATGAGACTGTTTATGTGGAAGGGTTTTAGATGTAACGTTTTCATGATATTTTGTGTTTGGGAAATACTGACTGGATAAATGTGAGTGAAAGTTTGTAAACGGGTGTTTTGATATTTTTGCTGATGTTAAACGTGATCACCAATGACTTTAATTCAGCAAGAATTTTCTCTGTTTTTGGATTCTTCGTTGACTGTGGTGACAAGAAAAACAATGTTTTCCTCATGAATTCAACATAACATGGGATGAGTAACTGATACACAAATTATATTTTGTGGGTGAAGTATTCCTTTTAAGATCTGTCAGAGATTGACTTGCTTGCTTGACTAGCTGCAATAAAAAAAAGTGCCATCTTTGTTGTCATGGTGTGACTGCACTCATGTTGCATTTTTAGAAAAAGAAGATGCTGTTATACAAGATGATTTCATACAAGATTAACAAATAAATTCTTTGCCTGCTTTTAAAAAACAAATAGAGCTGAATGAGGAAATCATTTTAAAAATCATGCTTTAATCTGAAGAGATTCCTAATGTGCAAACTCATTATCACTGCATGATGATGTAGATACTAAAATTTGACATCAGAGCTTGAAATGTCTCTGCTGTATGTGAAGTGACAGTTACACTCTGAGACTATCCATGGAGAATGAAGACTGTCACACTGTTTATCAGTTGCACACCTCTGTTGAAGTAATATATTTACACACAAACAACATGCGTGATGTTGAGCTCATTGTAGCATTAAAAGGATCAGTTCACCAAAATTCCAGGAACATTTCTGTATTTTTCTGAGCTTTAGATACTTCTTACACCATCCTGGAAAAAAGAAAGTGACTGGAAATTATTTTGTGATGATGCTAACCCATTAACATTTGACCTTCCTTCGTTTTTAGACAAACATGAGAATTTCACATTTAGGCTGGGAATGACTGAAAAGCAAACTGTAGAGCGACTGTAAAGTCTTACTCTGAGACTGTTCTTCGTCCTCAGTGGGAAAGAGGTCATCCAGAGACTCCTTGGTGGAAGACGTGTCTTTGTCATCCTGAGGTGAGAAACACACACACAATCTCCATTATTAAATCCCAACTTATCAATACTAACAAATATTCAAACTGTGTGTAATGTAAAACGAGTGTTTCACAGTGACAAACCTACAGGGAAATATCACCAAGTCTGCAGCTTAATGGAGCTTTTTTGAAAATATTTCGGTGAGGCAACAAAACCACAAACAGACATAAAGGTCCAGTGTGAGGGATTTAGGGGGATTAATTGGCAGATTTCTTTTTTTGTGTATAATCACCTGAAAATAAGAATTGTTATGTTTTTGTTACCTTGGAATGAGCCATTTATATCTCCATATGGAGTGGGGACTTGGTCCACATGTTGCACCACCATGTTTCTACAGCAGTCCAGAATGGACAAACCAAACACTGGCTCTAGATAGGGCCATTCACATTTTCATGTCAGCCACCATAGTTAGCAGCCTCTCAAAAATGAACAGCGTCGGTAAAATACTGTTTTTTTTTAATGTGACACTGCTTTATTCAGTGTTTTTACCAGTTTAAATCACTGGGTTCGCTTGTTTTGGAGAGGAAGGGACCTCTGCAGATAATTCAGCTCCTGGTAAAAACCTCCTGAACGTCTGGTTCTTAAGTTATCAGAGACCTGATAAACCTGTCCTATTCTGGTTGAATAGGACAGGTTAATCTTCGTATGCCTGGGAATTATTCATTTTTTCATGAGCCATGTAAACAGCTTAGTTGGAATATTGTCTTTTTCGAATAATTGGAAAAACTGTAATATTTTGTGCATGTACTGTAAATGTACTGTAAATGTGTCTGTCTTGACTTCACCTATAAAAACTCATTAAAACCTTTCTTAGGTTTTAGTCAGATCAAGTTTATATTTCCAGCCTGGTTTTCCTAAATATACACATAGAACATCCAGATAAAAGCCATGCACCAAAATGGGTTAAATAAAGAGCAGACTTCTCCACATTTGATCCTTTGTTACTTGAACAGCAAGTTGGCCAGTGAAGTATTTACAGCAAACTCTTCCTGAACACATCCACACACACAAACACACAGACACACACACACACACTTTTGTACTAGAGATTGTAGTCTCCTCACCAGCTGCGGCTCCTCCAGGTCGTATTTGCGTATGGAGGACATGAATTGCAAGTGTCTATTCTGCTCCTCCAGGGTGACCACCTCCTGCTCCCTGTCCTGCAGCCGCTGCTGAGCACCTGCCAGCTCGTCCCTCAGCCACTGGTTCTCCTGACAGAGACGACGCACCTGAGAAGGAGCACACAATGAAAGAGAAAGCAAAGGTGACACAGAAAGGAAGGGGGGGTGAAGGGAAGAAACAGAAGAAGAAAGGATTAAGGAAAGGTAAGATTGATGGCAGAAGAGGGGTAAGAGGGAAAGGACAGGTGGAGGAGGACAAGAAAATGAAGGACAAAGAAGGAGGAAAGAAGAGCGGAATGACCAACAGAAAAACCCAAAATTTTCAAGCGGCACAAATGTTACAAACTCTCCCCACAGAAAACACGACAAAGGATTTAACAGTTGGATTGTGGAGTCAGTAATAATCCTCTATGTTTAATTTCATAAAACACTTCCAAAAAGTTCAAGAATACATGGCATCGGATAACCTCCCACCTACTCATTACCTCTTAACTTATCTTTCTCTTTTTTATGAACATATCCTGCAGAAACTCACCTGAGCGCGCAGCTTCTGTTTTTCTGCCTCCAGTGAACCCAGGTGAGCTGACAACGCCATCATCACCTGGAGGGACAAAAAACGTGAATAACAATGTTTGTTTACAATAATTTCCAAGGGGAAAAAAAACAAAAAACTGTGTTACATACATGATTTGAAACAGTGCCAAGCAAACACTGCCTCAACTACTTACTTTTTAGCCACCTAAAAAAGGCCCTTCTAAAAAAAATCAATATCAGTGTAAATGTACACTATATTTACCACTTTATCTTGCTGTCAGACAGCTCTTTGCAATAGGAAACTGAGGTCGTTACCTAAAAGCCATCAGATTCCACTGACAAACATAGTCCTTGCTGGTCTACTGCTGCCATCAGTTAATGTGTAAGGTAAAGTGGAGAAAATATTCTAAATATGGTGCACACTTAAACTGATAGTGAATTTTTAGGTGGCTAAAATACCTTTTGCTGTGACCCCATCCACGGCAGTATACTACTTAGCTTCTGTGCTAGTTGACTTGGTTTATCAAAGACTAGCAAAGCAACACAGAACATAGCAGACACGTCAGATAGGTCGGACCACCATATTCAACTATGTATCTTTAAACATTACAGTTATGGCTGAAAATGACAACAGAAATAAACAAGTTTGCTGATTTCACATATCACCCCAGTTCATATCAAATGCCAGTTGTTTACCTGGCAGTGATTGTTGTTGTCAGCACAACACCACAGTCTATCCTGCATTTTGTCCATACTGTCATTTCTGCACTCTTTTAAATGCACCTTTAATGTTAAACACAAACTTTCACTTTAAACTGTTTATCTGTTCTTTGTAGGTGGCTTTTAATGTACCTTATTCTACTTTAACTTGCTTGAACAATGCTTGGGACAAAACAAAACTTTCCTTTACGATAAGTTAAGTTAATAAATTTTAAGAAAGTTTAATATCATTACCGTGTCAGCCTTTATTCTAAACCATTTTATTATTGTGTTTACTTATCAAAGTATTAAGATAATTGACTTTAAGGGAGCAGTGTATAGCAATAAGCAGCATATCGCAGTGAGGATTGCAGATTTTAACCGGCTGAAATCCTAACTCCTGGTTAGGATTCCTTCAGTGTTCATTGTTAAGAGGGATTTTAGTGGAAGCCAAATTATCCGCAGAGGTCTCTTCTTCCCCAAAACAAACAGACCAGGTGATTAAAACCTGTAAAAACACAGAATAAAGCCGGTTCACACTAAAAATCACTGTTTTTCAGATGCTATTTGGCTCTTTGCAGAGGGGCTGCTAACTAGAGTGGCTGACACAAAAATGCAAAAACGTGAATGGCCCTTTTTAGAGCCAGTGTTTGGCTTGTCCGTTCTGGGCTACTGTAGAAACATGGCGTTTCAACATGACTCTGGACTCTGTGGGCAATGACCTGCCCCCTTTGTAAATGTAGACAGCTCATTCTAAGGTATAAAAAAACTGATTCTTATTTTCAGGTGATTATGCACTAAAGAAAACATACTTATTACATTATATTCCATTTCTGTTAATATATCTCCCTAAATCCTACACACTGGTCCTTTAAAACTTGATGTGCCTGCCTAAAATACAGTTTTCCTGTCTGCTGTTTGCTGCTGAGCAGGTAGTGCACAGTGGGTTTTTAAAGCTTTTTCTCTAAAAACAGCTGCCTGCTGTGGCAAAAATGTGTCTATGAGAGCAGTAAGAGTGAACTAAAACAGTCAGGTTATGGGCTGTTAAACCAAAACAATGGGCTAAAAGTTGCTACAACCTGCCACAGTCTTACAGAAGAGTTAGTTACCACACAAATAGGTCATTATGGCTTTGCCTCTATTCTATTTGTACCTGCGCCTCGCTCAGCCCCAGCTCTATCCTCTCCAGTGATTGGCGGATGATGTCACTCTTCTCCTGCTCCACGCTGCCACTCTCAGGCACTGGCAGGCTCTCAATAGCCTCCTGCAGGTTCTCAAGCAGGCCACGGTTCTCTCCTTTCAGCGCCTCCAGCCCGGCGATCACCTGCTGCGTGTTGCACAGAATCTCCTCCGCTGACAACATGGCTCCCACTCTGAGGTTCCTCCTGTAACAACAACTGACCTGGGAACAGCACAAAAATGCACACATAAATGGTAGAAGAAGTCTTTATAGCAGTACTTGTAGTAGTGGTGGTCTAACAGTAGTAGAAGCAGTAGCAAAAGTACAAACACTACTAGTAGAATTGGTGGAAAATAGTAGCAGTAAGACTTGCAGTAACAGCACTGTGAGTACTGTGGTATCAGAAGAAGAAGTAGAATATTTTAGAGCAATAGTAAAAATAGTAGTAGTAATAAAATACTGGTAGAAGAAGAAGTAGCAATAGTAATAGCAGTTGTAGTACTGGAAGTCATGGCAGAGCAGTAGTGATGGCAGCCTCAATACAGTACAGAGAGAAGATATTTAAAGTCCAAACTGATAAACTTTGTTGTTTTTTGTAAATATACACTGTGAATCTGATGCCTGCAATAAGTGGGGACAGGGGCATGTTTACTACTGTGTTGCACCACCTTTTCTTTTAACAACACTCAGTAAGAGTTTGGGAACTGAGGACACTGATTGTTGAAGTGTTGAAAATAAAATTCTTTCTGACTTAACTGGCTCAATAGTCCAGCATCTTGGATGCCATATTTTGCACATCATAATATGCCACACATGTTCAGCGTGAGACAGGTCTGGACTGCAGGCAGGCCAGTCTAGCATCCAGACTCATTTACAATGAAGCCACACTGTTGTAACACGTGCAGAACGTGGTTTTGCTGGAATAAGCAGGGATGTCCCTGAAAAAGACGTCATATGGATGGCAGCATATGTTGCTCTAAAACCTGTATTCAGCGTTAATGGAGCCTTCACAGATGAACAAGTTACCCATGATGGAATAAGCGCTTACATTCTCCCATACCATCACAGATGCTGGCTTTGAACTTTGAGCTGGTCACAATCTGGATGGTCCTTTTCCCTTTTTAGCCCAGAGGACACAGTGTCTATGATTTCCAAAAACAAAAAATGTGAAATGTGGACTTGTCAGACCACTGCACACTTTTTCACTTTCTGTCAGTCCATCTCAGATGAGCTCGAGCTGAGAGAAGTCAGCAGTGTTTCTGGATGTTGTTGATACATGGCTTTCACTTTGCATGGTAGAGTATTACCTTGCATTTGTAGATGCAGCAGCTAACTATGTTTACTGAAAATGGTTTTCCAAAGTGTTCCTGAGCCCTTATATGCAGAGATCTCTCTGTATTCTCTAAATCTTTTGATGATATAGGGACTGTAGATTGTGAAATCCCTAAATTCCTGCAAGTGTGCATTGAGAAACTTACTAACTTTTTTGGAGCATGTTTCAGGCATCAAATTCACAATCAGTGTGTACTTACAGAAAAACAATATAGTGTATCACACATTAAATATCTTGTCACTGTGCCATGTTCAGTTGAATATAGGTCAAAAAAGATTCACAAATCACTGGATTCTATTTTTATTTATGTTTTACACAGCAACATTTTTTGAATCGGGGTTGTTAATGACAGCTGTGATTTATTGTTCATTTCACTCATTAAATTCATTTCAGTCATGAGACATGAGTTCATTATGAAAGTAAGGATATGGGACAAAGATGTTTAAGATACGGTTTGCGTCCAAGTATTGGCATTTAACACTTTTGTCTCTAATATTCAGTAACAGTGACCTATAGACATTACGACTGTGACAATAACGACACAGTGAAAACAATCCAAATGGTCAGCAACACACATGTGATGGTTTTCAGTTCCCTCTTATCTGAAAGGAGCATATAACACAATTGTTACATCCATAATATGCCAACAGTTCACTATTCCAAACTGTTAAATTACTTTGGTTTTATTCTGTCACAAACAACCTACACATTGTCTAATTATTCATAATACACTCAAATCAATGAGGAAAACGGACATGCAGGATGAAAAAATACAAATTTACACAACATATGTCACCTGTCCATCCGGTGACATGACATATAAGCTGAGGAGTTTAAGTCAAAGAACAATAAACAAAATGCTATCTCTTTTCCAATATTTTCAAGCAACTAAGGAAACATTATGCGCGAATAACATATGAAAACACACATATAGATGACACTCACAGTCTGCATGTGCTTTGTTTACTGTGGGCGGCGCATCAGGCCTCAGGGTCAGTTTACCAGCATGGCAGGAATAATGCTGTTTTATGCAAATTTAAATCCAACACGAACCTTTTCGCTGGTATAATGACGACTGCGTCACATTACGTGATATCTGTGTTTATCTTTTGGTGAAAACATCACCGGCTGTACTGTACAACACATACGATTGACGATTATGCTCTGAAACACGATATTAACACACAGACAAAACACGCAGGCCAGCTTCATTTCAGATCCACATCAACAAAAAGTTATTTATAGCCTACCTGCTAAGTCCAGGCTCCGGCGGCGTGGTTTCGTCTTTTCGTCCACTCTGAGATAATATTATTATTTCTATTTGGAAAGCGGAGCCGGTCATATACAAGGGGACATTTCCGCTCCCAGTATGTTTCAGTTTATTTACTGTTGAACAGGTGGGACGGTAAAAAAGTAGAGCTCTGTAAATGATTCACCTGCTGCCTCCTCGGCTCTTAGCTCCTCCTGTCATCACGGAGAGCATCAAGCTACCATAGCAACACGCACAACTTCCGGTTGTCACCTTCAAAGTAAAGGTCTTATCAAACGCTACCCACGTATGTTAAAGTATACATACATTTTAAGTTCCAAGAATGGTTTACATGCATAATATGCCACCTATGAGTCATTTCCTATTTTCAGTGGTGGAAACTGAGCACTAGTACTGTACTTCAGAGGCAAATAGCCTACTGTACTTTTTACTCTATTTGTCTGACAGGTTTAGTTACTTCTCAGATGATAATTTTCCATCCCCTTCCTGTCCAGTATTAACCCAATCAACCAAACCAGTCTCCAAATATGGTGATTTTGAATGATATTTTTTTCTGATAAATTGAAAGATGAAGTGTTTAGAAAATTCTACTTCACTAGATAAATAAACTCTTTCAAAACCCTATAAAGCTGAAAACAGGGCTGTTTTTCTGACACCATGAAACGTTGACTTTGTAGAGATGCATGGTTCTCACAGGGCAGCCACACAACAAACGTATGATGATCTTATAGAAGAGGATGCATTGCTGTAGATTAAACATACCAACAGTACATGAAGTTAAAATAAGCACAACATTTAACATCTATGGTAGTAAAATGCAACATACACATTAATGCAGCAGTTAATCCAAAAACATCAGATATAATAGTGAAACACTCACAGAGAACATTCCACTGTACAATTAAAACAATTTGCTGATAGTTCTTACATAGGCCACTTTTACTTATTTTGAATATGATAATCTGTTTAGTGACCCTATTTCAACTCAAGGCTCACTGGCTGTTCTGCACACCCAGTCTATCAGATATTCTTTATTTAAGCTTCAATATTTTGAATTCAATCATATGTGTAAATTGGCAATTTGTGCTACTGTGTTGCAACAATAATATGAGACAATAGCACAACAAAAACTACATAAATGGTAATAACAATGATAATAATAATTATTATAATAATAATTAATTAATTAAAAAATAATAATTGTGAAATACTTAACATTTGTGCAATAATCTGACAGGTATGTCTCACTTCAGTAGGACTCAACACGTTTCTCAATACAAATAGATAAAAAAAAAAAAAAAATTAACGCATTTATTCTGAAGGCAGAGTGTCACTACTTGTTGCATTTGTCCACTTATGTCCGCGTGCATTGACGCATCTGAGGAGCTTACCTGATCCCATATTTCCCACCATACACCGCGGCACCGGGGCTGGCTGCAGTTTTTGCAGTACAGTGTGTGTACTGTACGTCCACTAGATGGTGCCTGTGGCAAAGTAATAGTCTTCATTGATTTTCACTTCTCCGTGAGGAAACAGGCCAGCTATTTTATGTTAATTTTATTGTGGTAACATTGTGAATCACATAGGAGTTTTATCATTATCATTAAACTGTAAGAGATTAACTTTAGCATATTTTCTATAGAGGTATCAGTCTTACATGAAGAAGTGAAATCCACTGTTTGCAGAATGTAGCTTGTGTGTCTGCACAGTGTCATATTTTCACAACTCACTGTTAGTAAATATCGTACAGTAAGTGCAGGGCCCAATGTGATATCTTTTCATCAGGCCCAAAATCCCTGGCAGTGCCCCTGCATACAGCACTATGAACCAGTACCACCACAGCAGGAACTTTGTAAGTTTCTGTTCAGCTTAGGCTTGGGGAAACGCATCAGGTATCTTCAAGTCAAAAGGTTCAAGTCCAAATAAAGTCAGAAGTCACTGGTGTTAAGGTCGAGTCTAAAGTTATCAAATTTGTGAGTAACATGACTTGGACTTGAGTCCACACTTAGCTATTACAAATGACAAGAGATATCAGACTGCATCTCAGTGCAGTCCTTTGATAGGATGTTGTTGAATGAAACTGAGTAATGTATAACTTAAATGTGTTTATTTAATCAAAAATGAAGCAAGATTATCAGAAAGTAAATATACAGAGAAATGAAGAAAGGACATCCTGGAGAAACTTCAGAGAGAGTCTTCGTATAGTAAGATGTTTGAGGGAAATTTCTGTTGTCATTTTCTTTGCTGTGATGAATAGATGTGTTTCATATTCACCAGCAAATTAAGAACAATGTATGGTTGCTCTGAAACTGAAATAAATGAATGCTCATTGTGAAAGGCAATAAATCTGAAAGGGAGGATGGAGCATGCTTGTTCCTGTGTGATAATGATGAATCTTCTATAAGAAAATAAAGATGAAAAACTTGTGGCTGGCTACAGTTAGTGTGAAGAAATACAGACATAGCACAGTAGAATGCCAAAATAACAACAAACGCAACAAAATCAGATAGACAAAAAAAAAGGAATGAATGGGGCACCATCTTTGAACATGATATTCAGTTCTCCTTAAAGCCTAAAATCACATTTAGTCATCCCTTTTTGTAGTCAAAAATAAAATAATTTCAACATGTTTTTGAAGTGTACTGTAATGGTTTCTTATTATTAAAAGACAGAAAAATATCTTTGAGAAATATTAAAAATGTTCCTTTTCATCTCTGCTACTGCTTTATGCAACTTTTGATTTGATTATTCTGTTGAGTTATTGTACCATCTTGGTGGCTTTGTGAAATCATGAAATTAGAAAATATTGAATATACATTTCTCCTTTCTGGTTTCTGTTTTTGTTTTTTGTTTTTTTGGCTTTACAAAGTGTTTTGTCTAAAATTTCAAATGAAATGTTTTGGCATAATCTGTCATACCAGACATGTGTTATACACAAGTAAATGAAGTGAGTGCATCCCTCAATACAAATATATAGGCTTTGTGTTTCCCATACATTGATTTAATTGACAGCTTGCCACAGTGTGAATACTGACCTGCCATTTTTTTTAACTATTTAAAATGGGTAAACTCTGATTTTATTGTAGAGCAGTGTATTGATTCATTGTTTCTCCCTCTCTGTTTATCATGAGATAGTAGTGGATCCAGCAGTGTGCCTGCATACACACATGCACAGTGACAGGGCTAACTATTAGTATAAGTTAATGTTACTGAGCGGTTATTTACAGGTTTAATGACATCACAAGGGCTAACTTTACCTTAAGGTTATTAACAGGTTTCACAACATCACAAGGTGAACGCTACCTAACGGTTAATGGGTTTAACGACAGAGTTGAGCCATTTCATTGTCGGTTTGGTTTGTTGGGACTGTTTAACAGCTCAGAGTTGGATGTTAATTGCTGCTTCTAAGTTAGCTCAAAGTAACCAGGCACATGTTGAACTGACCGTTCACTGTGACGGCAGTGGCTCCGGGGACGGTCCCTCAGTCCTGCATCTAACCAATGTAATGGCAGCCCAAACCTGCCACTGTTTGCTTTCTCATGCCCTGAGCTGAACTGCCAATCAGAGGGATTTTTTATTTACTAACGGGCTCTGCCATCTCCGATGGTGTTTCTACCTGCTGAATCGGCCGAGAAAAGCTGACAAAGGCTGACTAGTGCCAATGGTGCAGGACACACCACAAAAACTAGGTCAGCAGATGTTCACCAACGGCCAACATTGACCAATGTCAGCCTTGTGAGTCAGGGCCCTTACTAGTAGTCTGCTGCACAGAGTGTGTAGCATCTGCTTAATCTCCTTTCAGCTCTGAAACATGTGGGGTGCAGGCTGAGGAGCTGGTCTAGCCAAAGCAGTAGCATAGGGCATCTGCTGTTGTGGGAGGGGGCTCTGCTGACAGTTAAAGGCACTGTATGTAAGAATGTGGCCAAAACGGTTACTGCACTCAAATTCAAAATACTGCCGCGAGTCGTGTCCGCCCCCCCTCCCCTACAGATTCGAGGTTGCTGGACAGCGGCATGCTGGAGACTGATTTGTTTGCCCATGGGTGGCTGCCGTGGCAGGGCCACATCGCTGCGTCCTTGATCTTTGGTTTTCCAGCAGACTGTTCGAGCAAGTCCGGCTTCTCTGCTGCTAACGCTGCTGCCGGGATACAGCTGAGGAGGAGCCGGCTGCTAATGCTATGTACCGGGACACTGCTAACGCTGCTGCCGGGATACAGCTGAGGAGGAGCCGGCTGCTAATGCTATGTACCGGGACATTGCTAATGCTGCTTGCCGTGCTGCTGTAGCTCAGTCGTAACTGTAACTGATGCTGAGACTCTACTGACTGTGTGACTGGTAGACGGCGGTGGGTGGCGCAACAGGCCAAAACACAAATTCAAAACATAAACATGATTTGCGGACTGTAAATTTTTTTTTTAAAATGTGACTATTCTGGCTGTGCTATTGTTGTCGGTGAGATCAGTATGTTATCTGAACATTATTCCTTAGTCTCTGTGACATATTAGGAGGATTTTACGACTATTTGCTTTAGATTTCTTACGTATAGCTCCTTTAAAGCTCTTCCGGTGTGGGGTGTAGGAGGCTGTGAGGTGGGGACTGAGGTGGGGACTGAGGTGGGGCAGGATGATGAGAGCTGGGCTGGTTTTCTTGGTCTTTTATTGGTCTGCTGTGGTGGTCGAGTTGGGGCTTCTTCCTCTTCCACAAGCTGTTTCTTGGTTTCCTCAGAGAAGAGCTCTGTGGTTGGGCTGGTCAGCTCCAGCAGGGTTGGGTGCTACCACAGACGGCAGCACAAGGAGTCTAAACAGAGCAGAGTTGACAGCTCAGGGTGTTCATCCTCTTAGGTCTGCTACAGGAAACCCAAACCTGCCACTGCTGGTGGGATTAGCAGTAACGATGGTGCTCCCACTACTGGATGTAGGGACACCAGAGGCCGGTCTAGTATCATATTATCATTAAGGCTCATTTATCTCTCTTTATGTACAAAAATATATATGTGCCATCTGTGTGTGAATGTCTAATCTCAGTAGCAGTTGGCCTCAATGTTTGTAAATAAATATGGACAGGACTATAACTCAATAAATTGGGTATTTACTTCCATTAAAAGAAGTTCTTTTGTTGTTTTCAGCCTTTTTTCCTCCATTACACTGCACAGCCTAATAAAATGTATTTTCAGTCCCTCTGACTTATACATA